GTAAACCTACAGCCTACTTTTTTATTTTTGTTTTAAAATGGAGACCTTTTCCTACGTTTCCTCCTCCCGTCCAGACTAAAACGGCAAAAACGAAGACCTGAAACAGAGAAGTTTGAAAACGCAGCTGACCCCGTTTTTCGTTTTTAAAACTGCGGAAAACGTTTTAGTGAAAACGGGCAAAAACAGAGGACTTTAGAAACGACGACGCAGACGCTCGGCTGGAAGAGTTTTTGACTTGGTATTTTTATTAAAATATTCTATACCGTGCAAGTAAGCCTACACGTGTACTGTGCATGTCGCCGTATTTACTTTGCGACGTCTGTTTTCCGCCGCCACAGTCTCTTTTAACTCCCGTGTTACATTCAGTAACAGTACCAGCTCGTTCTTGGTCCATGAAAAATAAAATCTGGTTCTTCGTCTGCAGTACTTTATTCTTCCCCAAATCTTCTTTAACTACAGAATAGACCTGCTTCATGTTTACACCCGGAACAGCCAATAGATGTGTGTTTTCAGTCGTTTTAAAGTAGATAGAGATCAACTCTGATACGCAGCTAAAACGCTGGAGTGGACGGAGATCACAGACACAGACAATGATCGGCCCCTTTGACTGTTTGCAACTTGCAAATTGGGTATGAAAATGTAATGTGATCTAGGCTTCACACTGTCCAAGGATATCATTATGACGAGGGCTGTCACGATGCCAAAAATTTTGTTGTCGAAACAGATACCAGTAAAATTTCTCAATTCTTGAGACCACAGTAAAACACAAAACATCCCATGCAACATCAACTTTAATAAAAGCATTTTAACTTTACAAAAAACAACTAATAGCTGTGAAAACTGAGAGAGGATGTCCAGGACAGATAACAGGTGGTTTATATTAAAATACTAAACCGTTATCACTAACTAACTCCACCTGCAGTAAGAGGAGCGTTCGACAGACGTTCGTCGTCACTTTTGGTGATTTTCAGGTGATCAAACTGACTCATCTCTCCAACAGAACTGGGAGAAATCCAGGCTTTGACTCGGGGCTGCAGAAGGAAACAGCCGTGAAACTAACTTCACCTGCTTTCCAAATAGAAAAACTCTTCTGCTGCACTTGCCTCTATCTTCCACGTGCTGGATCTCCGGCACCTCCGGTCCCTAGCAAAACAAGTACCGACATGTTTTCAAAATTTTAGTATCGACTTGGTACCGAAGGATCGGGTCTCTTGACATCCCTGATTATGACATGAATAAACCTCCATAAATCCTATAAGAAATCAAAACAAAAAGACACTCAAAGGATAGCTTTCTGGACATCCATGCTAACTGCTAGCAGGAGCTGCTAACAGCTCATCCAGCTACGTGTAATGCTGATAATTTGCCAAAATCTGTGAACACACACACACAATTTTAAATAGTTACATTAGTTATTTTAAGATCGAACTAAAATGAAACAAGACAGAAGAAATGTTTTAAAGGTTTATTGGATTTTGTCCTGCCCCCTGTGAATGGTCATGTATTCCTTTGTGTTTTATGTCTCTATGGACTCAAACACAACAATGGACAGTTTTCGTGCTTTCATACAAACAAACAACAAATAGAAATTTAAACTTATTAAAAACTTCCCTTTGGATTGTTTCAAAGCTGCAAACTAAAACAAATCTGTTTTTTTAACTTCCCAACAATATTACGTTTTCACCTGACAACAGCAATAGTATCCATTCTGGATGGCTGACAAAACAAACTACTGTAGATAAAATGTTGTTTAAAGTCTATTTTTTTAAAGCATTGGAAACACATGAACACAAAATCTCAGTTCAACCAACAACTTAAAGCCGACTCGCTCAGCTCTGGAGTCGGATAACAATCAGCCAAACGTCGGTATAAAGATGACCGGCCATTAAAACACAAACAGAATAAGGCGCAGCACAAAATTTTGACATTCTTAAGTCAATTTGGACTTATTAAAACTGAAACGTGATCAAACGAACTCTGATCGACCATTCAGAAAAACACTCACCACCCATCATCAGGCAGCGTCCTGCACACAAACACAGGCCGGCTTTAAACAGCAATAACTGCATGCACACAACACAGACATGCACAATATGTTAATAAAGAGGAAGGCAAAGGTTTTATCTTTCAGTGAAATGAAAGGAAGAGGCTTCATCAGCTTCGAGCTGCTCATACAGCAAAATGAGTTTACAGAACTACACTTTCTTGCTGAAAGTTAATGGTATGGAGCAAGGAGACTATTAGCTTAGCTTAGCATAAAGACTGGGAAACAGCTAGCTAGGCTCTTCCAAAGTTAACTCCAGCTTGTAATTCTCCGTAAAACTGTTATTTTTACATTTTTGTTTGTGTACAGATTAAACATAAGAGAGATATTGTGTTAATCTGAGATCTTTAGAGCATATGTGTTAGCTTTGAGGCTTGCTGATTCCCCCTGCTTGCAGTCTTTATGCTAAGCTAAGCTAATCACCTCCCACTCTAGCTCTGCGCTAACGCTACATTCATCCCATGTCAGCAGAAAATTCCTGTTAGTCCGAGTTTTTCAAGGCGGTTCCTCCCATCGGCAGCCTCCCAGTCACAACATTTAAACAGCATAAATTTTTAACTGAAACCAGATCCAAAAAATGTGTCGCCCCTTTTAAACTAGCTGATCCGATTCGATCTGTGTCGACGTGGGTTTTTAGTTATATGTAGCTGCCAGCAAGGCTTGTTTTTGTGGCCATTTTTCCAGCACTTTGTTAACATTTCCTGTTGTTTTTCACTTAACGTGGGAGATTCTGATGCAGTCAAAAACTCCCCACATCTTGTCAGAAAAGTCAAAGGCTGACATGAACAGTTTTTCGGCTGCTAAACGCAGCATTACATGAGACATGAGATTGATTTTTTCCATCTATCTCTCAGACAGAAAGCCAAAATAGTGTCTTTATCAAAATGTCTTACTTGTTTAACTTAATGACAAAAAGCTAATTTGTCTAAAAAGTGACCGTCTGCCTGCTGAGCTCATCCTGTCTCAGCTCCCTGTATTTGCACCATCTTACATTTAATTAAGCCTGAAACACAGGCATTTAACTAAAATAACAAGAAGAAAGTGTATCCTAAAAGCAAGAGTTCAGCATCATCATGCAGTTTTTAAAAACTTATTTGAATTATTTTAAGCCTGAGCTTTGGCCAAGACTAGTTACCCCACTAGAAACACGTGAACATGAAGCTGGTGAATCACTGAAAGAGAACATGTTTCAAATATATAATCTGCAGGAATAAACACCTAAACATATATGGCAAAATACAGTATGGCATAGCAGGATAGCACCTTTTTCTTTCAGTTCTTGCATTTGATCAGTTTGGCACAATCATCAAATTCAAGAGAAAAATACTCTCCTTAAAAACAGGCACAAAAGCATTTACAATATATACAGTTTATACAACATCTACAGTGTGAAGCAGGGCTGTCTGCATTTCTAATAGAAATATAAAGCCTTTATACAACCTTACACTCTAGCTGTTTCATTTCTGTCAGGCACTACATGACTGAATAACCTATTGGCAAATAAGCTAAAGCAGAGAGCAGCTCAATGGCATAGACATTTAGTTTGACACTAATTGATTGTTCTCAATGTATAACTGACTTTTATTCTGGCAACAAGTGCTTTATTAACAAGTGCAGGGCCACTCAGTAGCCCTCAGTTTGACAATGCTCGCCAGTGAAAGAGTCGATTTCAGCACAATGTCCAGCTGAACGTGGACGGATCATGAGACAATGAGGCTCTGAGCAAAAGAACAATACAGCCGGGTCGTAGTTTAGAGTTATTTGTGGTAATTTTGTGTCTCTTTAGTCGTTCGGCATCCTTTTGTAGGTGTTTAACGTCTCTTTGTGGTTGTTTTGTGTGTCTCTTTAAGGCTGTTTACAGCTGGCATTAAAACACGTTTTGGGTGATCGGATTGCGATCAGATAGAGCTTGAACTCATTAAAAGTACAGGTGTGAATGCACCCATTAAGGACTGTGACCTCCGGAGGTGGTCAGGGACGCATTGTGACCACATGGAACACAAGTCTAAATGTTGTCAATCCACATGCAACAACTACTGTGGCTCAGGAGGAAGAGCTTCCGACCGGAAGGACTCAAATGTCTCTCAGTGGCATAGCCATCGGTGTGTGAATGAGTTCATTTCTGTTTCTGATGAGTTGCTCATTATCGGGTGAATGTGATGTAGTGAAAAGTGCTTTGATTGGTTGTAAAGACTAGAAAGGCAAATATTATCATGGACGGAAATATGTAACGGGCGCATATTAACAGCAGGCGTAACTGGCCTATTTGTGGTCGTTTCGCAAGTCTGTGGTTGTGTTTAGTCATTTCTAATTGTTTTCTGTCATTTTCCTAAGTGTGTCTCTTTGTCGTCATTTATATATTTTTTTTTTGTGACATTTTGCAGCCCAGAAGGAGTCTGTTAAGGTTCTCAGGCATCCAGGTCATAGTTATATAAGGAAGGTTAAAATCAACGGCAACTGGACTTGGACTCAACCCGTTCTCGCTCCCCGACTCGTCACATATCGGCGTCAGGTAGTAATGTCGTGATCCCTATAGCGTCATAGTTCAGCGCAGTGGGGGAAGCCCTGTAGCGTCAGTTTTTGACAGTAAAGGCAGGTATATGATGAACAGAAAGACAGATTAAGGAGGTGGTTGGGTTGGATGGAGGGCCAGAACCCAAACTTTGAACCAGGAGACCGAGGTTCTTGTCCCGTGTGAAACAAAAAGTCAACATCAATTATTTTTATTTAAGTTAGGCGAGTTACGTAAATTGTGTAAGTTACGCAAGTGACGTAAGTTAATTAAACCCAATAAGTACTTTTTGTGCCTAAACCTAACCAAATCGCAACGTTTCACAAATTTAATAACGTGCCGTTTCAAAATGAGGATGTTTCCAAACGCGAGCGTTTTATTTTGAAAGTCTAACTGGACGTTTCATATTTATTGTTGCCAACTTTACCAGACGTGGCATATTTGTTGTTGCTAAGCGTTGCTAACTTGACCGCGGAGACTTAAATATATCCAGGGCGTTAAAAAGCAATGCCAAAGGGCCTTGACCAAGCGGTAATATGTGACGAGCCGGGAGTGAGAATGTGTTGGAGAAAGAGGTTTACCCAGTGGTGTAGATGTCGAGGAGTGATGCTGCCTCCCTTCGTAACTTTAATATTGGCGTAGTGTTGTAGTACTTTTTTGTTGCAGCACTACACCACTGGGTTTGCCTGTTAGATGTCAGGGTAGAACTCTGTGTTGACGTCAACGCTGTGCAAGACAGACTTCTGATCAGCAGCTGACATCCTGTTCAACACCTCGGCTGACAGAGAGTAGCTGCTGCCAGACTTCTCCTCAAACCAGCTGTCCAAAGCTCGCTTTCCATCAAAGTTGGCGATGGGCGGTCCGTTAACTGCCACCGTCAGCAGGTCGTTCATCTGCTCCAGAGTCAGCCTGGAACGATTGTTCTTGCACATCTTCTGCAGAGACCCACGGCCTTTATCACAGCAGGCTGTGGAACTGGGCAGGACCCTGACAACCTGCACAATTCGATTCAGCAGAGGGAAACGCTGCTTGTACCTGCAGACGTGACTGATAACCTCTTTAAAACCGTTCATACTGTAGTAGTCTGCTTTCAGATCCTTCCACTCCACCACCAGGCTGCCCCTGGCTTCAGTCCTGGCCTGGGAGCCCTCCTGACCCCCAGAGGGAATGGACTCCAGATGGTTGAATATCATGTGGATTTCTTCCTCCCCGTACGCTTGTAGGTCCTCCCGGTTGTGAGGCCAGGTGGAGAGGTCCAGGACCTTGCAGGCTTTGGCAAATGAGCGGCTCTGCAGGTCCAGCCTCTGAGACAGAATACCCTGGCTCCTGTTGCAGATCTTTTCTCGGATTGACTGAAACTTGGATTCAGCAACACGCAGATTTTTCAAAGCAACGCCGTTGAAACTTTCACGGAAGTTTTCCTCAAACTCCTGCAGATACTCTCCGGGGCAGTCCACCAACTGGCCAATCTCCAGAATGGCCTCCTCTATCTTGGCTTCCACCTGTGACACCAGCAGGTACTCTCCCTGGAAGGTAAAGGCTAATCGTGAGAGAACAGCTATGATGTCCAGAAGGAAGTAGATGAGCTTTACTGACTGATAGTCCATGAGGAACTGGAGGAGGGTAAGGGCAATGGCTGCTGCGTCAGCCCTCTGCGTCTGGCTGCTGATCTCCTTCAGATGGGCGACTACCTCCAGGTAATCTTTGATTAGCGCGTTAAGGACGTTTGGTTCTCCTATGATCCATCGAATGGCTCTAATGTCTCCTAGGAACTCCGTCTCCTCCGACAATGTTGGAGCAGTGGATCGCAGCTCGGCCATCATACGAGGGGAGTAGCGGTAGAAACTGAGCAGCTGCTTGAGGTTGTTTTCCAGATCCTCCAGGCAGGAGAGCTCCTTCCCACTGATACCGTCTAACACCTCCAGATGTGGCCGATGGATCATGATAGGAAGGCAGAGGATCCAAGGAAAAGTCTTTTGTACTGCTATGTACAAGTTGGCTCTCATTCCTGAAGAGATGTTGGTGCCGTCTACCCCTAGACCCACCACCAGCAAGTCCTGGAACCTGAGGCCTAGGGCACCGAATGCTCGATCCATAGCCTGGAGATATCCATCCACACTGGCCATGCTCAGTCTCTGCAAGGACAAGAACTCTGTGTTCGGGGAGCCCTCATTGGTAATGAACTGGACGTAGACCGCCACCATGTCTGAGAAAAGGTCGTCATTTTGGGCGTCCATTATGACACTTAGGAAGGGAGACAAGCGCATCTTCTCAGCCAGGTCTTCTTTTATAGCCCGGGCAATGTGGTGGATGAGGACCTGACAGTCTCCTTCATTCATGTACTGGTCCACCACTTTGAGCTCGCACCTCTTCAGAAGCTCCGCCAGTGGACGGAGGTCGGAGAAGGGCCGTCCCTCCAGGGCCAAGTGGTACGCCGCGTTGAACAGCAGTATCATGTTCCTGCACATCTCCTCTGTCTTTTCTGGATGCATGCGCAGCTTATACAGCTGCAGACATTTCTTATGGAGGTTGCTCTGGCTGTGGAGCTTGATGGTGTGGATCTTAAACTGCTTGGAGCCGATGATAAAGGCAGAGGTTCGGGATGATTGGACAGTGTACTGGCGGCAAACATGGCACCACATTTCGTTCAGTGTTGGTGAGTAGCGAAGGAACCAGAACTTTTTTAGCCACTCCTGCTTGAAGCGACGGATCCGTCGACCTCCTCCAGAGGAAAGCTTCAATGGGTCTTCTGGAGAAATCACAAGATCTGCAGTGATCGACTCATCAGCCGAGTCCACGTCCTGGTCGTCTTCATCCAGAACCACCTGAGTGGGCGTCAAGGGCTCCATCCCTGCACAGAAAAACACATTCAATTTCTGCTACCAGCATTGTTTTTTTCCCAAATCAAATACTGCAATGTAAAGAACTAAGTTTAGCCATCCTGGCGGGATGGCTCTATGCATGGTAATGTCTGTCGAGCTGTCCACTGCTTTGGTCAAGACTAAATATCTCAACAGCTTTTGGACGGATTACCATGAAAGATTGTTCAGACAGGATGAATCGTCTGACTTTTCCATCGCGCCACCAACAGGACGACATTGAGTCAGAGACTTCAGACTTGACTTGACCTCTAGCTCAGAGACTTGAGACTTGACTTGGACTCTAGCTCAGAGACTTGACCTCTAGCTCAGAGACTTGAGACTTGACTTGACCTCTAGCTCAGAGACTTGACCTCTAGCTCAGAGACTTGAGACTTGACTTGGACTCTAGCTCAGAGACTTGAGACTTGACTTGGACTCTAGCTCAGAGACTTGAGACTTGACTTGGACTCTAGCTCAGAGACTTCAGACTTGACTTGGACTCTAGCTCGGAGACTTCAGACTTGACTTGACCTCTAGCTCGGAGACTTGAGACTTGACTTGACCTCTAGCTCGGAGACTTGAGACTTGACTTGACCTCTAGCTCAGAGACTTGAGACTTGACTTGACCTCTAGCTCAGAGACTTGAGACTTGACTTGACCTCTAGCTCAGAGACTTGAGACTTGACCTCTAGCTCAGAGACTTGAGACTTGACCTCTAGCTCAGAGACTTGAGACTTGACCTCTAGCTCAGAGACTTGAGACTTGACCTCTAGCTCAGAGACTTCAGACTTGACCTCTAGCTCAGAGACTTCAGACTTGACCTCTAGCTCAGAGACTTCAGACTTGACCTCTAGCTCAGAGACTTCAGACTTGACCTCTAGCTCAGAGACTTCAGACTTGACCTCTAGCTCAGAGACTTCAGACTTGACCTCTAGCTCAGAGACTTCAGACTTGACCTCTAGCTCAGAGACTTCAGACTTGGACTCTAGCTCAGAGACTTCAGACTTGACTTGGACTCTAGCTCAGAGACTTCAGACTTGACTTGGACTCTAGCTCAGAGACTTCAGACTTGACTTGACCTCTAGCTCAGAGACTTCAGACTTGACTTGGACTGTAGCTCAGAGACTTCAGACTTGACCTCTAGCTCAGAGACTTCAGACTTGACCTCTAGCTCAGAGACTTCAGACTTGACCTCTAGCTCAGAGACTTCAGACTTGACCTCTAGCTCAGAGACTTCAGACTTGACCTCTAGCTCAGAGACTTCAGACTTGACTTGGACTGTAGCTCAGAGACTTCAGACTTGACCTCTAGCTCAGAGACTTCAGACTTGACCTCTAGCTCAGAGACTTCAGACTTGACCTCTAGCTCAGAGACTTCAGACTTGACCTCTAGCTCAGAGACTTCAGACTTGACTTGGACTCTAGCTCAGAGACTTGACTTGGACTTGGACTCTAGCTCAGAGACTTGACTTGGACTTGGACTCTAGCTCAGAGACTTGACTTGGACTTGGACTCTAGCTCAGAGACTTGACTTGGACTTGGACTCTAGCTCAGAGACTTGTGAGCATCTCTGCTCAAGACACATCAAATTCGTGACCACTAACTGACTGTTGTATTGTATGTGAATGGGTGTGTTTGCTGTACTAGATGCAGCACTTTACTGGACTAAATTACACTTTCACATGATTGATTTTTACTTGGTTTCGTAGAATGGCACAGCGTAAACACTCTTTTTTCTTTGATTGTTTTTATTATGTTGTCTGTTTTATATTGACTTGTACTGACCGGGGACTATAGATGCCAAGTGGCCTTTTGGCCAAATCTGGCATATTCACACCATTGATGTTCATTAATGTGCACTGTCCCTTTTAAATAAATAAAATAAAATAAATAAATGAAAACATGCAGTAGAGCCTCACAGAGGTAGACGACCCAGTCTTGATTGAAATTAACTTCAAGCAAAGATGTAAATGAAAAAAAAAAAACAGTTCTATCATTTGGCTGATTTGAAGAAATTAACAAAGACGACGAGTGAACGGCTGTTTGTCTGAGGAAGTCCTGAACATCCAACCATCATTTGTTAGAACATACCTTGAAACTCTTCGATGGGGCCTTGCTCGGGGTGTGGCGGGACCTGATCCTGTTGGGGGAGGGTCTGTTCAGACATCGATAGACCGATCCCGTCCCCCTGTTCTCCTCTGACACGGGACAGCTCCTCCTCCAGCTCCAGGATCCTCCTCTTCAGTTTGACACAGTTGGGGCAGAAGGAGGTAGAGGGTTCCTCACTGCTCTGGTTCTCCTCCTCTTTCTCCTCAACCTTCAGGTTCGGAACGTTAAAGCTGCTTTCAGAGGAATTAAACCTCGACCCGAGCGCTGCTGTTTTACACTCACTGGGGAGGGAAGACTGGGACCTGGAGTCCTCCAGAGAAGCCTCCAGGACGTCTTTAAAGATGAGGTCGATCTTCTTCCTCTTGGCGGGAGGCTGGCCGTCGGACTCCTCGCTGGGTTGTTTGCTGGGGCTGGATTTGCCCTGCAGAGCTGACTGCAGACAGGGAGATTTAAAGTCCTTCTGAACGTTGGGCAGGACTGCCGGCTTTCCGGGATCTGGAACAAAACGGTTCTCTTAGAAAAAAATGACAACCACACATCGCCGCATTGTTTTTTTAAACAGCAGCTTCATCAGCGAGTGCTGCAGGTTCATGCGGCTCGGTGTCATAAGAGTCTATGGATTTTCTAAATTGCCAGCTTCTGTCACATCAAGTACACGACTCCATCTGTTGGCATTTTGGAAAAAGTAAAATAAAATAGGAAAGGCAAATCAACAATGAAAGTATCAATCTCCTGAACATAAAAATGTGGATGAGGCCTTTAATTACAGCCAATCTTCTTTTATTAGAAGCAGGTTCACATTATTGACATGCTTTTATTTCTAATTCCCTCTGATGAATGTGAAGATGATTTGAAGTGTATTTGATCATATTTAGAGATAAAGCCTCCTTATTTTCCTCAAATTTCAGTTTCAAACTCAACACTTCCTGTATTTGTTTCAAATTAAAAGCTTTCTAGCATTTCAATGGACAGAATCCTTTCTCTGTTCTCAGATGTAGCTATCGCCATCTTGTGGCATTTGCAAGTTAATACAAAATACAGTTTGCTGGAACATTAACACACAACAGTGACAAACCAACAACAAAGGAGTTGTAAATTGCACATTTTAACATGAATTTATTGAATCAAAGTTTTGTGACCCATCGCTGCACTCTGTCAGCTGTTTAACTTGGGGGACAGTTTCAGATGAAAAAAACTAACCTCGGTGTTGTGAGCTGGTTCCCACCACCTGATGGACAACTGACTTCAGGACTCAGGCTGTTATTCAGTTTCACCTCAATTTGCCAAATATTGACATTCTGAGAACACGTGGGGGATAATTATAGTTGGTGAGTAACTGAGTACATTTTTATTTTCCATTTTGAGGCACTTCTACTTGAGTATTTATATTTTATCCTACTTTTTGCTCCTCTGATGCTACTATTCACTCTAGTTACTTCTTTCCTCTACATAATAATATTTAATATAAACATAGAAGGTCCTTTGTAAATATTAAACTTAACGTTTCCAGCATTATATCTTGTGACTCATTACATCAAGTCATATTTCAGATGTCTCTGAGTTTGTTTACACCAAAGCCACATTTTCTACAAACTACTTGTTCTGCCAACTACTCACCTGGTTTAATTTAAATAATTGTTCAAGGCCCCCAAAACAGTATCCAGTATCCCAAAAAATAAAAAAAGATTTGTGTATCAGAACTTTTGTTTTATCTTTTTTTCTCCCATTAATCATCTCACAACCCCTCAGATTTGTCTGGCGACCCTTAAGAGGGGCCGACCCCTAGTTAGGGAACCACTGGACTAAACTAACCAACTGTGTATGAAGTCATTAAAACTAACTAAGTGTAAATAGCTTCAATACTAATTAGCAGAATCAGTGAATGTAAAGAGGCTACTAACTAAGAGAGATTGCTATTAAGGACGCAGTAGATTTACATCTTGATTATTTAACCACTTAATTTAGTCTCCGTCTGAAAGAGGCTGTTCGTAACCAAACTCTGGTCAGAAACAACTTACCAATGGGGCCGCAGCCGACTCCCTGAGATAATAACTGTGAGACTACCTGTGCAGCTCACCTGTGTCCAGGTTGCGGTCGATGCTCTCCTGAGAGACGCAGTGAAGTCGTTGGATGTAGTCGTCGCTGTACCAGACCCTCAGCTTCTCTCCCGCCACCAGCGTCCGACACACTCTGAAGTAGATGTTTGTGCCGCGCTGAAACGCCGTCAGGTTCCTGTCGCTCTCGTCCGACGAGGTCCGGACAAACCTGCGGGACAGAAACATGGACAGGAACACTTCCCATCTTTAACCCTGTTTGGTGTTTGGCATTTGTCTTCCAACGCTTTGAAAGGAAAGTTAGGTAAAACGCCAAAAACAGCCGACACACTGTTTTTATATAAAGAGATAATCTTCTTTTTGCTGTAATCCAGGAGACATGCTGTGGATCAGCTTTTGTCCCTGAACACCTTTACTGACACTTGATGGGTTTCCTAGATTTAGCAGAATGCCTTTCAACAACATCCAGTGAGATAATGCTGTTTCCAGATTAAAATGTCCAGTGTAGGTCACAGGGTGTCCGTTAATAAATGTCTGCTGGAAAGTGAAGGTGCTACCAAACATCTTCCCTGAACAGCACGTTTTTTGGCTGCTATGTGACGTTAGCTAAATTAGTAATGAAGTAACGTTAATTAGCTGCATGTCATTACTACTTAGCGTTACTTGTCCAGGGGCACATCCCGATAGTTAAATTATAGTTCAGTTTTAAGAGTCTTAAGCTAATGAGGAGACATTTCTTTTGGATTTTAAGTGTAATTGAAATGTTTACAGCTTCTGTAGCTGTACACTCACTACTTTGCTACAATGTAAAGTGTAATTTCTTCAGGGTTGTCACATAAAAAAAGATATAATCAGATATTTACACAAAAGTTATTATCCAGAAATCCTGTATAGAAAAAAAAAAAGATTCATCAAGATGCTTCGTTTTATAATCGTATCCAAAACATTGTTCTTGTCTGTAACTTTATCTCTTAAAAGGACACCCCAGCTCTCCCCTAACAGTGAAGGACGAACCCAGCAGCTTCTCCAGCCTACATAAACACATCCTACTACTATTACTGCAAAGAACGATTGATCACTCCATATCAGCTACTGATCACCGTTTCCCACAGAGAGAAAAAGAGTCTGTGGTCATTAAAAGACTTTAATGATTGTTATAAACTGGTTAATCAACTCATCTTGTCACATGCAGGGAAAAACTTTCTCTTTGGATATTGAAATGAAGAATGTTACCTCATCCAGTTGGCTTTGGTCTCATCGCTGCCATCGATGGACTGATAGGTGTTGTTAAAATCAACAATCTGGAACGATCAAAACAACAAAAACAAACCAAGAAAACTATTTCAGAGGTGGACTTGTTTAAATATGGTTGTGGACTGTTACAGGAACTGGTCTTGGACCGGTTCTAGATTGGTTCTAAACTGCTCCTAGACTGGTCTGGACTGGTTCTAAACCGATATAGACTGGTTCAAAACTGGTTCTAAACCTGTATATATTGGTTTTAAACTGGCCTGGCCTGGTTCTAGATTGGTTCTAGACTGGTCTAGGCTGGTTTAAAACAGGTCTAGGATGGTTCTAAACCGATATAGATTGGTTCAAAACTGGTCTAGACTGGTTCAAAACTGATCAAGACTGGTTCTAAACCGGTATATATTGGTTCTAAACTGGCCTGGACTGGTTCTAGATTGGTTCTAAACTGTCTAGGCTGGTTTAAAAACTGGTCTAGACTGGTTCTAAACCGATAGACTGGTTCAAAACTGGTCTAGACTGGTTCTAAACCGGTATATATTGGTTCTAAACTGGCCTGGACTGGTTCTAGATTAGTTCTAAACTGTTTCTAGACTGGTTCTAAACCGATAGACTGGTTCTAAACTGGCCTCGACTGGTTAAACTTACTATCCAGGAAAAGAAGCCGGAGGATTTGTCCTTCGACACCAGCTCTCCCTCGTACGGGCCGAAGACCGCCCCCTTAGGGATGGTTGGATCCACGCAGCGAACATCCACCTCGTCTCCCTCTGTGAAGACCTCCAGGCCTGACGGGACAGTGAGCGCCGCCCTGTTGGCCGACCCCGGGGACGCGGGTGTATCGGGGACAAACAGCGGGGGCCCGTGGGACGGACACTCCTTCTGGAAATAGTCCTGGCACTCCTCACAGACTGGAGCACAAATATCACATGTCAGGATTTTGTAAAGTGCCAGTTATTAAATATCCAGGCCGTCACTTTCTTTACACCAGTCGTGTTTCAGCTGACCTGCGTTCGGTCTACACACGGAGCCTGGGGGCATTTGAGTAGTAAAGACTTATTTTATTCTACTCCCTGTTGTCCAATCAGGGCATAGCAATCATAACTAATAACGGCCAGTGTTGGTGTCCCAGCAGGGGCCCAACGGGACCAGACTCCTGCAGCTGCACAGGTTTGCTCCTCCAAACCCCCACAGAAACGATGCCGACTTTGATACACAGAACACCTACGTAAAATACTGAGTGCAGCGGCGCTTTGAGCTAAATGCTAATTAGAGCTGCAACCATTAGTCGATTAATCGATCAAAAGGAAACTAATCGACAACTATTTTGATAAAGGATTAATCGTTTTAGTAATTTTATTAAGCAAAAATGTGAAATATTTGCTGGTTTTATCTTCTTAAATGTGAAGAACTGCTGCTGTCTTTTGTCATTTTGGGTTTTTGACTGTTGGTTGGACAAAAGAAGCGATTTGAAGACGTCACTTTGTGCTCTGGATAATTTTGATGAGCATTTTTCACAATTTCTTGACATTTTATAGATTAAGCTATTAATCATGAAAATGATCAGCAGTTTAGTAAATAATAAACAATCGTCAGCTGCAGCCCTAATGCTAACATAAGCATGCTAACTCACAAACAAGTTGGCCAAGGAGGAGCTGCAGCCCCTCAGAAAAGGGAAGCCGGGCCCCTCCTGGAGCCGGACCTGGGAAGTAAGCTCGACCAGCGAGCGTCTGCTGAGCGTGTCTTTGTGGATGTTAATGTCTGTGGCCATAACTCATCTATGAAATCATCCATCTTGCCTTGTTTTATTGTTAGGTGTTAATATTATTATGATTTTATAGTATTGCCGTTGTATTTCTTTTGGAAAGTCCTTTGTGTTCTCTGCTTGAAGTGCTTTTCTTCTGAATTATGTTTGAACCACTGCTTCCTGTTAAAATAATGTTTCCAGTACAAAACAAGATTTTCAAGGACAAGGACTTTCTCATGTGTTTTCCATGACTGTTTTCCGGTAAACGTGAGAATCCCGCTGTCTGTCTTTGAGATGGTGAACTTGGTGAACATTAAAGCTGTTAAACCTCAGCACGTTGACCTGACGCTGTGTCTCAGTGCTGACTCTCTGTCTGCTTCACTGATCTGTCACTGAGAGAAGAAACGAAACCAGCTGGAGAGAGGAACTTTAAACTTACACCAGAGATCCAACGCCGGCTCGCTCATAGTGGAACCATGTTGGTAGAAGTCCAGCAGGTCGTCCTCTATCAGCCCTCTGCAGAACAACAACACACAACCTGTGACTGCAGGTTTCACAGAGCATTGACAGACCTTTCTCATAGTGGGCGTATGACGTATGGACGTGCAGGTTCAACAGGACAGTAACGATGGCTGTAACACGGCCAACAGAAACATCCTGATGTGCTGTTCCTCACAATGTCTGCAGTCCAAATGTCTGATTAAAATCCACATCACCATTACTTTGACTTATAACTGCAGTATTTCTTAAATCCTGGCTAAAGCCCCTCATTAATGTGTTTCTATGTCAATATTTGTATATCAGCAACAGAGAAATGTTACCGGCTCTGCAGTGTTTTAGGATCTTTTCACCTCTTTGTTTTGGTTTTACACCTTAAAGGTTTTTATTACAACCCCACCGAAATGTAGGCAAACAGCCTACTGATATTAATATTTGCTTTTTTTAAAAACTCTGATATAGACAAATTGTCCTGGCTGATTTATCGGTCTCTGGTTCTGGTTCACTCTTTAGAGAAGGTGACATGAAGTGTTTCCAACCACCTGATTTTAAACTCCAATTCAGTTTAACATGACTTAAAACAGAGAAAAACTGAAAATCCTCACTGGAACCTGTGTTGGATTGTTTTTTGTCTATATTTTTTTTTTTATATATTTAAATAGGCTATCAGCCTGGACAGATTAATATAAATTAACTAGTTATTGCACAGAGCTGCCTTTCATTTCCACATTTCACGTTATTGAATCAGTATTTCCAGAGGGTTTAAACTCTGCATCCCTGCTGGATCTGGATCAGGAGACTCCTCTGGAGAAGAAAACACTTCACAAACACTGAAAAACAAAAGTTCCCTGTAACTTGGTGTCTCCGTGTCACCAGATAATCTGTAAAATTAGCGGATTTGTGGATAATTAGCGGCTGAGTTTTAATCTGCGCCACAGTTTCTCTGCTCGGTTCCGATCTGCAGACTACTGGCAATCTGCCTGCTGTTTTCGGAAGCCATTTTCGCTGGCCACAGTGGCTACTGACACGGACCCACCTTTTGCAGAGACGCAGCGGGGACACGGACCCTCTCCGCCGGGTGAAGCTCGACTCTCGCCGCCCGGCCACAGAGCACCGAGCCCCGGCCGCTGGCTCCGCGGCTGCCCGCCGATGCAAAGTTTCCCGTTAATTTTTGCAGCGACTCAGTCGCCTCCTCAAGCTTTGGCCACCATTTTTCATCACAGGAAATGACATGGAAAACGGAAGAAAGCAATTGCGAAAAAAATAAAGTTAACAGTGTGAAGGTGAGAGACAGTGAGATGGTTTCACCTTTTTATCTGCAGACTTGCAGGAAGTGAAGTCACGAGTCTTTTCACTGTTTCTGTGGTGAAACAAGGAGAAACCAGAATATAATATATACTGCAATACTACAGTAAGCAGTGTTTACCAAGTATTAAAAAGACATGTCTTCTGGGTTCTGGAGGAATGAACAGACCTGAATATCAGGAAACTAAACAACCTCCACATAAACATAAAGTCCAACTCCTCAGATCAATAATCAGCTGTTTACCTCAGCCTGAAGGATAAAGGACAACAAAGTTAATATATATATATATATGATGAGCGGGAGGACAGATGGTTTGAAAGAGGCCATTTACACCAGAGTGAAGAGACCATCTCTGAACATGGACGATGTCTGAGACACATCAGTCTCATTAAATCAGACGTACGCACAGTCCTGTAGAACTTATCTGTGTGGATATGTTGCTGCGGTGTGCAAAAAACAAAGTAATGTGTTGTTTTCAACTGGTATTGCCAACAATGGCTGGAGGCGTCCATCTTGGTTTTCCATCTTAAATCTGTTGTTGTACTGGAACGAGGTCAACTCGGCTGCGACATCATTCCGATCTGAGGGTAAATGGAACCAACTACACTGCTGTCCTTTCATCTTTTCCTATGATGCTGAACCCAACGCTCACCTTTGACCTCATGGTGACTCCAACGACTGTTGTTACATCAGCCAGGAGCACTAACGGACCAAGCGGCATCCATCACCTTGAGAACGACCCAATAGAGCTTAAAAAGCGGGGAACCCCTGCCAGTCAGTCAGAACTGAAGTAGCTTCTTGCATGAGAGGTGAGACTCTTCATCCAAGTCCAGCTGCCCCTGATTTAAGCCTTTTTTTGGAACTAACTGTGAGCTGGATCACAGATGAACCGTCACAAACACATTAATCAATTATCAAATTAGTTGGCCATAACTTCTGTCCATTTTTGTAATATAAGTGTTTCGTCTAAAAACTTTAATCTGCAGCAGTTTCTCAGATTTGTTTTCCTCTGTAAAGTGATTTAAATCTACTCATGTGTTTAAATTGTATTTTAAGGTTCTCGCAAAAGTGAGTACACCCCTCAAATTTGTGTAAATATCTGATTCTATCTTTTCATGTGACGACACTGAAGAAATGACACTACGATGTAAAGTAGTGAGTGTACAGCTTGTGTAACAGTGTAAATCTGCTGTCCCCTCAAAATAACACATCACACAGCCGTTAATTTCTAAACTGCTGGCAACAAAAGTGAGGACACCCCTAAGTGAAAATGTCCAAATTAATAATATAATGGTGATGCGTCTCAGCGTGGACGTTCTGTCGGCTCTCACTGGAACCTCAACTCATCCTGTTTGTCTTCTTCCTCCCTCTCTGTGCAGAATCCATTTCATACGCTGAAACAGGAAAGTCTCTGTGCTGAAATAACTTTTCTTCACCAGCTTTGCAATCTAAAAGAATGTCAACGTGTTTATTAAAAATGTTTTGAGACATGAAGCCTCCAGTGGCCTGTACTACAAAGCGAGGTAACCGTCTTATCCAGGTAGCTTCAGGTGGAACTTCCTGATTAACCCGTACTACGAAAGGTGGATAGGTGTCACCCGAGGTCTGTTGCCATGGCAATTTACGCCGCATCTCTAAACTGCTCCGACCAGGTTTATTTGGTGGTTAACTCGAGGTCGCCCTGCACGTGGACTACACACCACATCTGTACTCAGTGTTACAGAGGAGAAGTATTAATACACACCGCTTCATAAAATATTTTAGATTTCATCCTGATTTGTTTCACTGCGGCTGCACTGAAGCTCTGAACACAACAGCATCACGTTCAGACAGCGAGCCCTGCAGCCGAGCTGTGATTTTAGAGAGGAATCTTAGTTAATTAACGGGATAGTTTCTTAGATGTAGCCCATTTGTAGTCTTGAAGTGTTTTCACATATTTAGATTTTTATGTGTCCAAAAAATAGGGAGCCTGGGTCGGGGTTAATAACAGAGAAAAATAAATCCTAGATGAAAATGTGAAATTTACAAGAAGAAAAATCAGAAATTCCCCGAAATTAATGTCATAAAAAAATAGAAAATCACTCTGTTTTCTACTGAATACACCCAATCCAAGGCGAAGTCTCTGAGGTGCATGATAGTGATTGTGGACTAAACTCAGGAGTGTTTCAGTATTTCCTCACTGCTAAATCCGATTGCAAAGTTTAATATAACTTTCCACTGTATGCATGATACAGGGCAGATGTGTGTGTGATGTTGCAGCCTTGCAAAGTAAAGTTTCTCTCATGAATGTGTGACTATAATGTCAGAGAATATTCAAGTTTTTTACTTGGAAATTAAATTCTGTCTCGGATTATTCCTCCTCTCCACTGGCTCCTTTTTTTCCTATTACAATGGACCTTATGTGCAGTTGTACCTTTACAACTTAATCATATTACACATAAAAGAAGAGCTCATAAAATACAGAGATCTGAACTACAATAAGAACACTGTGAAGATAATTAGGCTACAAATTAACTCAATGCGATGCCAACAAGCCGCCCTGGCTTTGTCGCCTGCCACGATATTAGATTTAGCCGTTAACGTGTCTTTACATTCATCATTTCCTGACACGACCAACGTGCGTTCCTCTGGAGAAATACGGAGCATGGGCCGTTGCAAAAAAACTACCTGCACGGCCGAACACGCCCCTTTTAATGCGAACGCGCACCAACTCCAACTAAGTTAACACCGACTCAACTAACCAACATCTTATCCACCGTCGTAGTACCGTCTAACTCCAGCGTAGGCGGTCAGTTTGTTACCCTGAGTTTGCCTGAGTTACCCCGAGTTAACTCTGAGTAGGATGAACTCCCTTCGTAGTACAGGCCAAAGGTCACAGACACCGACAACATGTACAGACTCAGAGGTTCTGGATTTCTACCTGTTTCATACGGTCTGTGATTTTTACCTGAGAGAAGGAGGTCTGTACGTTTAAACATGTTTGACACAAAGTTTTACTCAGGAATCAGCCAGTCATGTCAGCAGAGATGTTTGAAATGTCTCCCAGCTTCAGTTCGGACGCGAGCTGCATGTAGCGCTCCACGTTGTCTTTATGGTACGTGCTGGTCCCGTGTTTCTTGATGTTGGTGATATGAAAAACTCTGGAGCCTTTGATTAAAGCAGACTTCCTGCTGGACTGGTCTGCATTGAGGCGGCAGACGTGGCACCACATCTGGTTGAGCGTCTCTGAATAACGCAGGAACCAGAACCTTTTCAGCCAGGCGTCCTGGAAGCGAGCGGCCCGTCGAGGCGTGCAGATCTTGGGTGAGTCGCCCTGATGAACTCCGGGCTCTGTGGGGGTTGACCTGACGGACGAGTCCTGATCGTCTTCAGGAGGCGAGAGAGGCTCCATCCCTGTGAAGACGGACGGAAAGACAAAGTGATGAGAGTTCAGAAAGTTAGCAGTCAATGCCAGTAAAATTCCAAAGTCGAAACACAGTAAAAAACAAAAACACACTTCAAAATCCACTCCTTTTAATAAAAACAACTAACATCCGTGAGCTGGCTTGATGTCATTATATTCAGAAATTAGCAAGATATTGAAATTATATGGGCTGATATTTGTGTCAGTGGAATCTGAATTTGAATTATTTAAATCGAAATTTGAATTTCTCATCTTGAATCCCATTAAAAAAATTATTTTGAATAGAATAGTTTGAATTTGTATTAACTTGAATAATTGCATTGAAAAACTGAATCTGAAGAGAATAATTTGAAATTGAATTTATTAGTTTGAAACTGAATTCCAATAACCTTGAAACTGAATGTAATATTATGAAACTGAATTCAGTTGCAACTGAAACTGTATTTAAGCCTCACTAAAAATTCAACTCTTTCTTTCTTTCTTTCAGTTCTCTCAATTCAAGATTCAGTTTCAAGGTCACAGACAGGTCAAGGTCCTTCAGGAAGAGCAATCGAGTGCAGAGCAAGCCTAAATGATGCAAGCTGGTCGCAAAGCCAAACCAGCTACCACAGGTAACTGACGTAGACTCAAAGCATGTGCGAGTGACGTGTTTGTGGTGAGGTCTCACCAGAGCCTTCTCTATTTTATAGGCTAATGACTCATCGGTAGATGTCATAAGTGATGACTGGCCTTAGTCAGGCATGTGACAAGCGGGAAAATAAACACAAGAGCACAAGGCACGGTGCTGTGAGTCCTCTCCCAAGAAAATGATAGTTATTTGAATAAAAACTGCATATCCACATAGTTTTAGACTATGACCATCATTACAGTGTTTCAGTGCTTCCTGGCTCTGGTTAAATCTACACAACCAGGAGGGGGAGCTGGTATAAATGAGTGTATTACAATAATATTAATAGAAAGTATAAAGTTCATTTAATAGTATACAATTAGTATAATGTTAATATTTTAATTCTATAATGTTACTATATTCATCATTTCATTTGATAATATCATTGCTATCCGATTAAAAAAACCATGCATCTCCAAAAAAAAAATTTTTTCTCATAAACATGTATTACACACAGTAATTACACACATTTAGCATCATAAGTGAAATACTATCTTTACACAGTCATCAGTGAACCGTTTAATTTTTTTAAATGGACATGTGTGGATTGTTAAGCGAAGATGGACATGCGTGGATTTTAAATAACGGGCTCCGATGACTTGCTGGTGGTTCTGAACCTTGAGTCTGTTTTATGTCCCCTTCAATCGATTAAACTCTCGACAGTCAGCCTGCCCTACTGATTTCCACAAAGCTTTGTCTTACATTTTAGCTTGAAATCAGCACGATCCAGGCTAATGCCAACAGGTGTTACGCCGAGTTTTGCACACACCTCCAAATACTGCTTTTTTGTGGGGCTCATCAATGGTGATAAATGATTCTAAGTATTTATTTTATGAACGTTTGATATTATAACGTCGTTGATATTTACATTTACACTTTTACAATTCCTTGAGATTCAGCAAAAATATGTTACCGCGTTTGATCAGTGAGCACAGCAAAGTGTCTGAAAAAGGAACTTAAGAG